CAGTCAACTGGAGGGAGGTTTTAAAAACAAAACTAAAATGATACTTAAAAACATGAAAGACAGGAGTGAATGGAGTTGAAGCATTCCAAGATGCTTGTATTACTCAGGAGAACAGGGTCATCGTAACCCATCTCAGCCGCGTACCTGGCTTGTCTAGTTATTATTTGTGTCCAACATGGAGTAGGTACTCAAAAGTCTGGGTCAAATGAAATATTCTTCGAAGTATTTGGACAATCTTTAAGAAATGAGAACTAAGCTAAGGTTAACCATTTTCAATTGTTGAGAGATACTACTAGACCAGTGGTTCTCAACCTTCTTAATGTCTCCTAATGCCACAACCCTTTAATACAGTTCCTCATGCTGTGGTGACCCCAACCATAAAATGATTTTTGTTGCTACTTCAAAACTGTAATTTTGCTACTGTTATGAATTGTAATGTAAATATCTGATATGTAGGATGTATTTTCATTGTTACAAAGGGGTCTCAACCCACAGGTTGAGAACCACTGTACTAGACAGAATTGAGGACTAGAAATAACTAGTGGGAAAAAAAGGTGAAAACTGTTTGAGCTTTGCATACATGGAGAGGTATGTGGGTGTCTGGGGACACGAACCATGGTGTGAACAGGCACAGGAGCCAGTAGTGAGCCAGAGGGACAAATCCAGACAAGCCAGCCCTCTTTATCAATGACGAAAGTGACTTTTCCAAGACACACCTGTAGTAATTCAAAGAGGACCAAAGGGCACAGTGCCAGGTCACCCAGCAGAACCACCCCTGCATTTCACTCCAGGGTTTACAGACCCAGGTGGAAAGCCCAGCAGGGAGGTATGGATGGGCCAGGTGGTAAGAGTCCTGGTGTCATGCTGAAGAATTAAGCAGCAGGGGCCAAGGCAAAGCTGCTGCACTAAGCCACACTCAGAATCAGAGAACAGAGAAGGGCAGACCTTCAATGCATGTGGTCAGCCCACACTGCCAGCCCTCAAATATTCATTTGGGGGGAAACTGATAAAAGTATGGCTAGAAGAGAGAAAGAAAATGTTTTAATTGAGTTAAACTCATATAACATAATGTTAGCCATTGTCTAGTATACAATCAGTGGCATACAGCACACGCACCATGTGTGCCACCAACCACCTCTATCTAATTCCAAAAGTTTCCTGACCCTAAAAGGAGACCCCCTGCCCATTAAGCAGTCAGGTCTCCTTCACCCCAGCCATTGGAAACTACTAATATGTTTTCTGTCTGTATTTACTTTTCGTGTTTGTTTGAGACAGACTCTCACTTTGTCGCCCTTAGTAAAGTGCCTTGGCATCATAGCTCACAGCAACTTCAGACTCTTGGGCTCAAGTGATTCTCTTGCCTCAACCAAGTAGCTGGGACCACAGGCACCTGCCACAACACCTGCCTATTCCAGAGATGGGATCTTGCTCTTGTTCAAACTGGTCTCAAACTCCTGAGCTCAAGCAATCCACCTTCCTCGGCCTCCCAGAATGATAGGATTATAGGCATGAGCCACCTTGGCGGGCCTTCTTTATTTAAAAATTTTTTTTGACTCACTCAATAAAGAATATATGAATTTACCTATTCTGGATATAGCCTATCAAGGGAGCCACAAATGATGTCTGGCTTCTTTCACTTAGCATATCGTGAAGGTTCACCTCTGCGATGTCTGACTGTGAGCACAGAAGGGCAGAATCTGTGGCACCCAGCAAGCAACTGCAGATGGGGAGCAAGAGATTTGAGGATAATTGCCATCATCAGCCGTGGGGACAGTGGTACCTTTACACAGATAGGAAAGTGATGAGTTTGTTCTGGACACAGAGTATGAAGTCCTAAGAAGGGTTCTCATGAGAGGGCTCCATCAGCCAGCTGAAACAGAGAAGGCAGCTCCAGAGGGGCTCTGAGACAGCTCTTTCACCGTCCTCTGAGGCTGAGAGGTACGTACGCACCTGGAACAACTTCCATTACCCAGACACACACATCACATGAACACCCCCTGCCCTTCTGAGAATGCACTTATAAAACATCAGAGGTAGGCCACAAAGAGCAAGGCCTGCGACGGACAGATCACCACTCCCACTCATGGGCATTTGTTCTGGCTTTTGTAAAAGGAACCCATTTGCAGGGACAATGCCTGGCATTTTCTAATAAATATTTCTTCCACCACCTTTGAACTTTGCATCACTAGTTTTCATCATTCTCTGCTCCCAGTATAATTTACCAGCATCTAACCCTCCTGAGACTCCTGTAGAATTTTGGTGTATATACAGCTGGTCCCACAGTCTGCAACTCTGGAAGTAAAACATTCATTTTGTCCCAACTGGGCAATTCCTCAGGGGAATTCCAGCCCCTGGAGAGAGGGCTGATCCCTGCACCTTCTGTCCTCTTACCCACTCTGACCAGGCGCTAGAAAAGCCTGGCCTCACTCTGGCCTTGCTCTTGAACGTCAAGAGCAGCAGTAACCATTACTTCCTCCAAAGAGATGCTGAGTTCTATACAAATCTGCTTAGATGTTTGCAAAACAATCTCTGCTTGCTTAAAAAAAGGTACACATTTTATATGTATATTTATCTATACACACAAACATGTACACTCATAAAACATTTTAAGATATACATCTAACTGTTGGCCCTTGAACAACACAGGCTTGACCTGCACAGGTCCACTGATCCACGCATTCTCCTCTGCCTCTGCAACCCTGAGACACTGAAACCAACGCCCTCCTTCCTCTCCTCAGCCTGCTCAGTGTGAAGATGATGAGCATGGAGGCTGTGACGATGATAAACCTTCACTAAGTGAGCAGTGGTCAGAACAGAGGCCAGAGAGCCCTTCCTGAAGATTTCCTCAGTAACATTTTCCTTTCTCTGGCTTACTTTCTTGTAAGGAACATAAAATGCACAAACTATGTTATGTCATTAGGAAGGCTTCCAGTCATCCGCAGGCTATTAGCAGTTCCTCTCTTTCTTTATTTCTGTTAGAGATGGGCCCTCGCTACATTGCCCAGGCTGGCTGTGAACTCCTGGCTTCAAGTGAGCCTCCTGCCTGGGCCTCCCTAGTAGCTGGAACTACAGACATGCACCACAGCTCATGGCTATGCTCAGATTTTCTAAGCCCTGTGTTGTTCAAGGGCCTATAAATAGTTTTCTATACCCACAGGTTAGGCTCAAACTGGAAATTTTGAGAAGAGAAACTGCAAGATGTCCCAGAAGTCATCAAACACACAGAAAATAGGAACTTGTAGCTAAATCTACCTTTGTTTACAAATTATCTACAAAATATTCTCTACACGTTCTCCACCTCTTTGTGAAATTCTATGATGACTATTTCGTAAATGCATTTAGCTACAAGTTCCTGTTTTCCCATGTATAGACTTTGGAGACACTCTATCACAGCGTGCCAAACTCAGACCACAGGGAAAGGAGGGAGCACAGCGCTGGCAGCTGTAAGAACAGAGGCAAGAGATCCTCAGTCAGAGGACAAATTCCTCCACTGTGGGAGCAAACGGAAGTGTGCGTTATGGGGCAAGGGCCACCCATGGGGACAGCAAGCTCTCAGCAGCTCACCTCTTCCTCTGCCAGCCTCCTTTCATTCACTCCCTCCCCTGGTGTATGTCAGGCCCTGCTCCAGGTGCAGGGGACCCAGAGTGAACTAGACTGACAACCCCCTCTTCCTGTCCCATGGAGCTCAAATTCCCCGAGGGGTATCAGTGAGGGTGGGAGAGAGTGGATGAAAGACAAACAAAGAAAACACATAACCTTGTTCAGATAAGTGGTGACAATATACCAGTGATTACCCTTGATATAAAACATGTCAGGTAGGAAGGGAGATAGGGATGACCCAGGCGGTGGAGCTGGGGACAACTTCTGTGGCCTGCAGAATGGAGTGGGGCTGAGTTAATCTCAGCAAAGACCTGAAAAAGCTTAAGGGAGTGAGCCGCAGGCGGAGTGAGCACCTGGGGAAAGAACATTCCAGCTGAGGGCAAGCCAGGGAGTGCAGGGAGGCCAGGGCGGCAGTGAACAGAGGGAAGGGGTGGCCCAGAGAAGGCAGCACCTACTACGTTGCTGAAATGTATCTGTTTTGCCCTCCCTGGGCCTGGCTGACCTGTCCACCCTTTAAGAGCAGGATCTGTACTGCATGTGCACAGCTCCATCCCAGGCCTGAGCCAAGTGAGGAGGGCGGGCGTCAGAAAGACAAGGATTGACAGATGGACAGGGTCTGATGGGTCAGTCAGGTAACTTAACCAGAGGAAAAGCGACCCCCTAGTGAGCCTGTTGGCAGGTACAGGTGATATGCCAGCATTAGCCACCATGTTAACTGCAGCCCTTGCCAGAGGTTTTCAATTTCATCACTGTGCAGGATATATTCCAAGACAATATTTAGCTTTAATCTCATAAGGGGGGTCAACAAATGAAAAAAGTATATATTCATTTCCCAGACCATTTTGTTAGAATAATCACTACCTAAAATCGAAAAAAAAGCGCTTATAATTGAATCATATTGCCTACATAATATACATAAATAGCATACATACTTTATCTATTTTCGTAGCTGTGACAGACAACCATAAAATACTTTGCAGCTCACTAGAGAAAACTCTCAAGAAAATAGCTTTTGCTTAATTCTGTATTCTAGTAATGATAGGCCCCATTTGGACATATCAACGGAATTAATGGTAAACTCATCTGAGTGTACATTACCAAAAAAAGCTTTAGACAAGGGCTCAACAAGCCTTCTCTGTAAAGGGCCAAATAGAAAATATGATAGGCTTTGCAAACAACACACACTATTCTTTTGGTAGTCTTCTTTGCTTTTAGGAGGTTTATTTCATGTGGGTTTGTTTGTTTACCATGCCAGAGAAACCATCCCTAGTTCCTGAGCCAAACAAACAGCCCATGGTTTGCTACCTATGCTTTTGCCCACAGTAAGAGTGAGTCACCTGGATTTCCAAGTGTCTAACAAGTAAATCAAAGAGGGAGATGCCCACGCATTTCTGGGTTACCTCTTTCAGTCTCTCCAGCTCATTCTGGAGGGCCTGTTTGGATATTTCCACTTCAATCATCTGCTGTCGGAGAGTTTCATTCTCATCTTCAGCTTTAGTGCGCTTCTCCTCTACAGTCTCAAGTTCATGGTGCAACCTGACAGACACATCTTTGGCCACCTGCAGTGACCGAAACAGATAACTGTCAGGATGTGAAGTGTTCTATGTGCCGAGGGTGAGTTCAGACAACATCAGAGGCAAAGTCATTAAGTAATATGAAATTATACTAAATAGCAAAGACCCTAGCAATAGTTAACAGACCTATTTTTAAAGGAGGAAGGTATTAGTTTAAAACATGAAATCAATAGTATGAGGGGAGCATAACCAGGATTTAGACTAAAAGGCCACTCTGGCTGGCCCGATGGTGGTGGGTTATCAAAACTTACTAGCATCACTAAAGTTGGTATTCAACTCCCCCACTGCTAAATTTGACTGGCTAAATAAGTAAATAAATAAATTTTTGGTTAAAAGACCACTCTGGATAGTCCTTCTCCTTCACAGAATACCATTAAGATGCCAATTCTACCCAGCTCATATGCTTTAAGTGAGAAATTAAAAATAACAATAACAGACAAATAAACATTATTGCTCCCTAAGGCAATTCTGAACCTGCCTACTGAAAAATATAAATAAAAATAATTCTGTATGCAGTAGATGTTCCCTGCAGTTGAGTTTCAAAGTAGACACCGTGGCTCCAAACGTTCAAAGCAGTTAAACATTTCTACTTTCTTAAAAGCAAATGAAGAAAGAGACTTTGTAAGATAATCTCCCTGTATCACACTGGAAGACGTCTTTCTTAATGGTTTATATTCCAGGGGTCCTCAAACTTTTTAAACAGGGGGCCAGTTCACTGTCCCTCAGACCGTTGGAGGGCTGCACTGTGGGCCCCAGAATGAGTGGGCTGCTAAGCATGACAGGCAGCGGCGGCAAAAACATCTGGCAGGCTGGCCACATGTGGCTGGGGGGCCGTAGTTTGAGGACGCCTGTTTATACCTCTGGTAGAATGACAAAGATTCTTTTCCTGTTAATCAGACTACAGGGCTAAATGAGATTTCACAAGGATGCCATAATAAGGAGCACATGATGCATAATTCATCTCTAGATAAATGATTTGATAATCGGGTCATAATGGAAGCTCTGCTGCCCATGGAGGGAGCAAATGGTATAAAGCCTGCCAGCTCTTTACCCATCCCTGTTTCTGCCAATGGTTACCAAGACACTTTAGACAATCAGTTACAATCCTGTGTCTCCTTAAGTTAAATCACCACTACATAAGCCTCAATTTGATGATGGGAATTTTAGGTTTCTAGGTTTTCTGCATCCTAGGAATCTAAATAACAATAAAAATGTTAAGTTATATGACCCACTTTTAAGACTGGCCTTAACTAAAGTGATAGTCAATAGATTTTTTTTAAAAATCAGATCTTTTGAAGTTTCTGCACAATTCTATGTAATTGTCAGATTATTTGGCAGATATCAATTCTTGGTGACTATAGATCCATTACTATGATTATTTACATTGCTATTATGACAAATTTAAAACTCTGGCCATCAAGGTCATAGGACTAAACATACTCTATAAGCCATAAACCAAACCAAGACTGTTTATGCTGAAATCTGTGGACACAGACGTGAGCAGGGAACAAACACCAGTGTGCGTGTGGTGTCTGGGCAGCCTATCCACAGCAGCCTCCTGGGCACACGCACACCACCAGCCCCGCTCACTCACCTTCAGGTCCTGCTCCAGGCTTCGGATAAGCTCGCCGTCCACCTGCCCTGTCTCGGCCACTTTCAGGCTTTTCTGCTCTGCTTTCCGGAGACGGTACTGCAGGATTCGGCAGTTTTTATTAGCACGGTCCAGTTCTCGCCGGAGTTCCTGCAGCTGGTAAACATCTTCCTCTAAATAACTGTCTCTCATTTCTTCCATCTCAGCACGGAGTTCGTCTAACTCATCCTATACAAACCAGACAGAGCAGATTTATGAACTAAATATATCCAAAAGGATGGCATCTCTCTCCTCCACCCCTGCTCCTCAATACTAAATATTAAACACCTACATGCTTACCCATCAGCTTGCCGCGCCTGTGTGACATGGCAGAGGGGCCTCTGGACATCCTCACGTGAGATAATATCACAAATGTCTGCTCAGATCTTATGGTCCAGAAACTAAAAACACTGCAGGCTTTCAGAACTTATTCCACTCACAGTATTTCTTTGCACAATCAAAAATGCAATCAGCTCTGCAGATAATTAAACTTTAGATTCAAAACAAACCTTGACCTAATCCTGTATCTCTAAGGCACATTCCAGACATTTCTAGCCTTGAAAGAACATAAACTTTAGTGCAATAATAACTGTTCATTGCCCTGGAATCAGAACATACCTGCAAATGTCCCTAAAATTCTGTTTCACAACACAAATCTCAGCACTAAGTGACTCTGTCTAAAAACGAAACCTTTTCCATTTTTTCCAATACACACTGGGTCTGCTTTTTCCCATCCCACTATACTTTATTTCCTACACCTCTGTTCTCCTTTGCTGCCCACAAGAAGACCGTTAGTACAAATGAACCCAAGAAGTCATCCCTAGGCGCCCTCACTCCCTCCCAGTCCACAGCCACTCCATGGCCAGGGTGGTGTTCATCGCAGGTGGGCACACTCTCTTCTCTCAGGTCACAGCACCCTAGTCCAGGCCCCTAATGCCAGGGGGCAGAGGGGGGCACTGCATAAGATCTAAGTATAGACATATGGAGGTCTCTGCTTCCCCATCCCATGATCCTCCCAAACTTCCACACTGATGATGAAAACAGAATTAAAAGCGTCCTGTAAGATAAATCTTAACACTGAAAATATTGCAAAGTATATCCAAATTTCATTTCTTTTTTTCTTCATGGAGATCTCTCTCTGTAAATCTTATTCCTGAGAGGAAAATTTGCTTGGACCGGGAGTTATTGGACTGAACATCAGAGCTGACAGTCAGTGGACCACACATTTACAGAATGGGCATTCCGGGCTCTTTAGGGAACCAGAGAACACAGCTCCTTCAGGAAAGTGCCTCCTCAAAAAGGAGGCAGTCACGCCAATCCCTACACCAGGGCTGTACAAAGCTGAGTAGGAGGTGTGTCCCCGGGACCCACTTGTGCTGAAGGAGGCCAATTGCAGATTGGTCTTACAGTGGTCATCCTTTCATGAAGAATAGAAAGCTAGTCCTGAATTTTCAAAAATCAAAGTCAAGTTTCACTCACATCCATCCATGAATCTAATGGATCAGATTTTAAGAGCCTTGTCTCAATAGTTGTCTCTGAGTACAGTGAAAAGGTGATTGTTTTGCTAGGTAATTAATAAGAAAATAGTTTAATATAATCAATAGTCACAATATATCTACTACTAAATCCATATAGATACATGCATACCCATGCGTAATAATATACAGTAACTTTGGCCATTCTGTTCATAAAAAGAATTGTTTGTGATTTATGCCTGGAATTATCTGTAAGTCAAACAAAAGTTTTAAAAATGTGATATACTTGGTCTGGCACGGTGGCTCATACCAGTAATCCTATTACTCTGGGAGGCTGAGGTGGGTAGATTGCCTGATCTTAGGAGTTGGAGGCCAGCCTGAGCAAGAGTGAGATACTATCTCTACTAAAAATAGAAAATCTAGCCAGCCATCATGGCAGGTGCACGTCCCAGCTACTTGGGAGACTGAGGCAAGTAGATCATTTTAGCCCAAGAGTTTAAGGTTGTCAAGACACACAACATTCTACTCAAGGACAGAGTAAGACTCTGTCTCAAATCCAAAAAATAAATAAAAATAAAAATGTGATGTGGCCATAAGAAGACGTAAGATACAGCTTGCAGGTATAAAAATGTTCTCTGGTTTTCAGACTTTGCCACAGGAGGGCCCTCATCCATGCTGATGTTACATGCTACATCATTATATAGATGTGTAAACAACCATCGCAGGCTACAAAAACCTTTTAAAAGTTGGACACACTCACATTTCCACATCACTGATTGGGTCAGATGTAAACAGCTAATATTTGGGGGATAAATAATAACTCACAGTAGTTGCACTGAGAAGAAAATTAGGGAGAGACCATAATTGCAGGTATTTAAATCACTGCTTTTATAACTGATATTTTATCTAAATTTATAGAACAGAAGACAGCCTTCATTAAGCACTCTACCCTCATTACTAACCCTACAATAACCCTGTCAGAACACATTCCCCCCATTTTATAAACAAGAGGTCACACATGTCCAGACCCTCACATCTGGTGAACTGAAGCCAGCCTACACAACCAGGGCTGTCTGCTTTCAAGCACATGCTCTTTCTAGTAAATACCACAAATTATGTGCTACAACTATACTTTTAAAATCCCCCCATCTATGTAAACCAATAAAAGCAGCCTTACTTTTAGGGGTTGACAGTTGTCAAAATACAGGCGTGTCACAGCTATTGGTCCTCAGGAACCAATGTGAGGTACAGCAACCTATCAATGAGGAAACTGAGGTTCTAAAAGTTTAAATGCCTTCCCATCACCAGTGTGTTGTGGAGATTGGACCAAGGACAGGGTTTCAACTCTTTCCATAGTGCCTGGGAAAAAAATACCTTGGAAGTTCAGTAAAAATGAGTTGCAACAGAAGCAAATTATAAACCTTGTAAGAGCCATTGGAAAAGCAACAACTATGATTATCCAAATTAGGGCCGTGACTGATGGTGATTTTCAAACAAACATTACATTAATTTTTTCATAGCATGCTCTGACTTAGAACAGTGCATTGCAGAACCTTAAAGGAGTATACCACTTAAATGTTTAAGAAAACCAAATCAGGCTTGGTTTGAATCATACAATGTTTCTAACAGCTATAATTTAAAAGTGGAAAATCGCTGCTATCTTTTTATACACAGAAATTAAGAAAAAAGCTATCCTTAATCAACAATTTTATTTTATTTATTTATTTATTTATTGAGACAGAGTCTCAAGCTGTTGCCCTGGGTAGAGTGCTATGCTATCATAGCTCACGGCAACCTCCAACTCTCGGCTCAAACAATTTTCTTGCCTCAATTTTCCTATTTTTAGTAGACGTGAGGTCTTGCTTTTGCTCAGGCTGGTCTCAAGCCCATGAGCTCAAGCAATCCACCCACCATGGCCTCACAAAGTGCTGGGATTATAGGTGTGAGTCACCTCACCTGGCCAACCAACAATTCTATATTGAATAAACATCAGATTTATGGGATGATTAAAGTTAGATCATTGAAAAGATAATTTAGTTTTAATTAAATATCTTCTTTAAATTAATTTTTTTAAAAAAGTGAAATCAGCTCGGCACCTGTGGCTCAAGTGGCTAAGGCGCCAGCCACGTACACCCAAGGTGGCGGGTTCAAATCCAGCCCGGGCTGCCAAACAACAATGACGGCTGCAACCAAAAAAACAGCTGGGCCTTGTGGCGGGCGCCTGTGGTCCCAGCTACTTGGGAGGCGGAGGCAGGAGACTCGCTTGAGCCCAGGAATTGGAGGTTGCTGTGAGCTGAGATGCCATGGCACTCTACCCAGGGGGACAGCTTGAGGCTCCTGTCTCCAAAAAAAAAAAAAAGTGAAATCTTGGGGGGAATTAAAAAAAAAATGAAATCTTGGGCAGTGTCTGTGGCTCAAGGAGTAGGGCATCGGCCCCATATATCAGAGGTGGTGGGTTCAAACCCAGCCCTGGCCAAAAACTGCAAAAAAAAAAAGAAATCTTGAAATAGTGTGATGCTGTCCAAATATTCCCGCTACTTCTAGGTGACAGACCAAGCCTTATTTTATATACTCTCTGTCTCACACACACACACACACAGGGTGCCAAAAAAAAGTACACATATTTTAAGAAAGGAGAGGAAAAAACTGTATTAAAATACGTTGGTATATACTTAATATATATCAATAACAAAAGATGAATACAAGTCATGTTTGAGCACCTCTTGTAATTACAGAAGTAAAATGTGATTTGAGTATTACAATTTTAATACAGTTTTTCCTTTCTTGAAATGTGCATACATTTTTTTGGCACCCTCTGTATATCAAATCAGAGAAATAATGAAGGACCATGTGGGCACCAGATCAAACCAAGATTAAAATTAAATGTTTCAGTGAAAACCTCTGAGGCAGTGACTTTCAACTGGTGTGCCATGAAAAATTTTGAAGATCATTAATTTAAATTATTTTTGAAAGAAGTTCAAAGCACAGTAAGTATATTCTTTTTTTTTTTACTCTGTTTTTTTAATCAATATAATCTAAGGTGTGCCATGGAAGTTTAATTATAGGATCAAGTGTGCCATAAGATAAAAATGGTTGGAAAATACTGCTGTAGAGGATAGTTTTATCCACAACTTATAATGAAACTGAATCCATGATTTCTTAGCCTATGTACTGAAGACTCTTGATCATACTGATCACCGTACTCAAACCCGAATCTCTCTTTAAATGACCTGAAATCAATAACTATTCCTATTTTACTAGCTCATCTTTAAACAGAGCCGGTTTGGACCATGGGAGCAGTCATCTGGCTCCTGCTGCCGTAATTCCACCTTCTGGGAGTTGCAGGCAGAAACTCTTGTCTTTTGTAATACGGGAATAATCTGCCTCATTTCCCTCTGGACAATAGAAATGTTCTCGTAGAGTCCCAGCTGTAGCTAAGGAGGCGCAGGGGCCTCTCCCTTTGTTTACCAAGTGACAGTTCAGCCAGCAGCTGATGGGCTGGGTGCCCTCCTCTGCATCAGCCACCTAAAACTATTATAGCCACTTTTCCACGGGCCGAATAAAGAATGGGTGTGTGGAAAGCGGAACGTCAGGAAAGAATAGGGAATATTCTCCATGCCAACCCTTCCAAAAGAAAAAGAAGGGGGGGCAGCAAGGAAAGAGGAGCTGAAGTACGTCAGCTGCGGAGACTGACGCCCACCTTGCAGTGTCCCCTCCAGACCATGCTGAGTGCATGGCATCCAGGCAGCAAATGCTAACAAACCAGGTCAGGAGCTTGAAACTCAAAAGCTACCTCCAGTGAGACGAGGATGATGAGGTAGGACCGGTGGTGAGACACTGTGACCTATAAAACCAAACCTCCATCTCTCTGCCTTAGGAAATTGTACCTCTCTAGGAAGCCAATTCTATCGGCCCTTGTAGCTAGCACTGATTTGCTTTCTTTTAACCAAAAATAATTATCATGAAATAAATGAAAAAGTAGAGCAATAAGAACAGCCCTTCCCACCCCAATCCTCACCCGCTCTGCAGGAGATCAGCACAGGAGAGGGCACTATTTGGGTGCAAGGGACCAGTGGATTTTGACTGCAAAAAGCATTTTTCAAAACAGGTCAATAAACTCATAAGGATTAAATCCTTCTGGAAAAACTGTGGAAACAGAGCACATAATTAATATGTTGACAATAAGCACTCCAGCTTGTC